CCTGGTCCCCTACGTCATTTTTGCAGTGGTCTAACCAGGCACCTCCTCTGTTCTAGCTCCAGGCTCACATTATCACAGAATGGAGGCAAGACAGCGGAGAGTACGTGCCAGGAGGCCTGCTGCCCAGGAGAAAGCATGGCCCACCATGGGACAGCCTGTAGCCCAGCAGGGTACAAAAAGGCAGGCTGCAATGAGCCCGCCCCCTACCTGCAGGAAAGGTTCTTTGACGTGAGGTGGAGTACTCGGCCCTCTGAGTGATCTTTGCAGGTTACTGGCCATTCTTCTGGGCCTCAGAGCCAGGAGGGAGGCTCTCTTGCCCAGGAGGGGAAGGCGCTTTCTGGCACCATTGTTTGCTGCTGGGGTTGCTATGGTGATGCTGCCTGAGTGGTAACGCAGGGAGGCCTTTACCACCCTTACCTGTCATTGGAGACTGTTTGGTCCCTGGGGCTCCTGGCGGCATTTCCGGTGAGACAGGCAGGGGATAGCACTGTCTTGTAAATTCTGACTGGGAAAGACGGTAACAGGAGCAGTGTCTGGGGAGGGATTGCCTAGGAGGCTCCGGATGAGGCTCCCAGGCTTTGGGGCAGGGTAGGGGTGCAGGTGGGAAGGAAGCACCAGGATCGGGCCCATCCTTCCCTGATGTTCCAGGGGCCTGTGCCTCATGGCTTTTCCCTCACTGAGGAGCCTCCAAAGGCTAAGTTAACCAGCAAGTACAGAGGTTCCAAGGAGCAAGGTCACAGGAAAGCTATTTCTGTGTGGGAAGCATGTGTGCCTGTGCAGACCGTGGGAGGGAGGGTTCCCGCCACAGCCTGCGCGAGCTCCCTCAGGTGCTTCTTCAGGTGGCTTCAGGCCTTGCTCTTACCAGTCTCCACGGTCTCCGTCATCACCCCCTTTCTTTTCCAACTCCTCCTTGTGCCTTAGGGACCAGACACCAACAGACCAGAGACCAGCACTTCCACCCTGGATTTTATTGAGCAGGTATTTGCAGTAGTGTTCTTGGGCTGGCTCACGATCACGCGGTCAGCCGGGCCTAGGGTGGCTCTTGGCAAAGCTGGGGTGCAAGCTAAGGAAGCCAGGCAGGTCAGGGGCCCTTCCAGCCTTCTCAAGCCTCTGCCTGAGTTCTCATCAATGCTAGTCTCCCTGGCATGATTGGGGACATTATCAGAGAAATATCTAATGGGGGCACATCTGGGTACCCGCACTCTTTGCTTCGGATGCATCCATCTCCCCACCCTATATTCAACTCTCGACCCAATACAAAAGACCTTTTTAACCAGGATTTCTTCGTGCAGGAAAGCTGGCTTGGAAACATGGGGAGGTGGCAGGGAGGAGCAGTAAAAAGGGCCCTGGCAAGCAGACCTGCTTGTCTGAGTGCCTACCATAAAGACACCTCGGTCCAGGTACCTTGGCCTGGAAGACACTGTGCACTGCAGGTCCTCCCTTCTCTAGAACTAAAAGCAAGGAACAAAGGCAAACGGAAACCCCTGGTCATCCTACCCACTTTCTGGCAGTCTCTAGATAATGATCTAAGGAAATAAGCTTACATTTATAATTAGAGGACAATTTGGAGAATTTACACTATTTACAAGAGCCACGCTGCAAGGATCAGGGAAGGTGAGAGACTGCTGGGCACAGAACGGAAACAGTTTGGGGAGTTCCTA